GGGGGTAACAAAAAAATAGAAATATACTCCTGGGAAGAGAGTGAAATGAGATACAAAGTTGTCACCGCTGGTCGTCCTCTGCCTCTGCGTGCAGCCGGTCACGGTGAAGCATCACTTTTTGTATTCCTGGACGGAGAAAAGTCGGTGAAAAAGACGGGACAACTCCGAGGTACCACAAGACTGCACGCAGACTCCGGACACACAAGAGTTAGCAGTAGAAATAGTTGTGGTTTGTCAGAGCTCCGCCCCCTCCAGGCTGATTGGTCAGACCAGTGAGAGAGAAGTCAGTCAGTATGCGTAATTACATTGTATCCGGTACTTATCGCGTTTTCAAAATAAGACAAGGCAAGTTTATTTCGACAGCGTAGCACCATTAAAGAAGAAAAATGCATTATAAAACAAACATTAGAGAAACAAAAAATATGAAAGGGAGCAGCAATTGAAGTAGAAAATCATATGATAAAATAACAAATATATTAAAACGTAAGTATTCAGTATCAATGTTTCATTGAAAAAAATAAAAACTGCAAACTTGTGTTTATGTTCAGCGAGTATCTGTTTGGGAAATTACTGACGAATGACTGGATAATAAGCTGCTGATAGCATTGCTATTATTTTTGCCTTTTTGTCCCCTTAACGTTTTTAACATTACTGTTAGTTCATTGTTAATTTTTCCCCCTTGATGCTTTTATTTTTCTAGGCCACCTCATCCACATTCTGGTCTTATTTTTTTCTCTGTCACTCTCTGGCTTGACCACTCGGGGTCAATCCAATCCCTTCATTCATCGTCCTTCACCTGCATAATACCATGTTCCACATGTCATTATTGGATTCCATTGGTCGGGGCAGCGGCCACTGATACTGCCGCCGGACTGTATCGCTGCATAGTTTGGACATTGAGATTACTAATAGTTCATTGTTTTACTACTGGAACATTTCAGTTGTAGACATTCTAACATGTGCCCTAACATATATGTAATTAACATAATGTTTTAAATAGGCTACAACCCTTATTTGTGAGATATGAAACCAGCAGAACATAGAAAATAGTTTCCCAAAATACAGATCATTCTCCAGATTAGAAGGATAAAGATACTTCACGGAAGGTGTTTCATGGCATTGTAAAATAAAACTGGAGCCCATGTATGTAGTCATCCCAGGGGTCCATTGAGTTAGGCCTACGTTTCATATCTGAAGCCAGTGTTGTGTAAGTGAAGCAGCAGCTATACCTGCACCGACACCCCGCCGGCAGCCAGCCGGGTTGAGCCGCTTCCCCTCCGGCTACCAGACTGCTGCTGCTGCTGCGGGGAGGAGCGGACAGACGTTCAGAGAAATTAGCAATCCAAAAGGACACATGGCGCCACCGAGACGACACACACGCGCACACACCCAGACACAATTGCCCTTTAACAATCGGCACACACGCGCGCGCGCGCCATGTATCAGCAACCCCCCGGGAAAAAAATCTGGCTTTAAAAAAACAACTTAGTCACTTAAAATAAGCTATATTTTTGCATGTTTTTAAGAGCCTTTTTAAAATTTGATATTTTTCAGACCGAGGTGTGTCTGTCAGAGCTCCATGCTCGTACAAGTAAAGCATATAGGCCGTAATTGTCCCGGACAGACAACAGGATGCGGATACCGCTTAAGGGAGCACAGAAAACTACTCACTGCAATTACCGTAATTATCTGCAATTCCAAGGAGGCGCCAGCGTGTATCTGCACTGAGGGCTGCGTGAAAAGGGTGGAGGTCAGCAGAAACACTAGTTCCATGCCGGACGGCCTCCTGCGTGTAGTCAATCGGTTTCTGTAATACTGGGTATGATTGTCTGTGACATAAAGCTGGTATTACCTAATATATGTTAAGATACAGACGACTTTTTAGTACATAAGATGTTTGGATTCTTTATTTAGTTCCATTTAAAGTGATCAGAAAGGCCCCCTCCACTAGACTGCCAGCAGCAGCTCCATCTCCTTCAGCCTGCCTGTACCTGGTGGTGGATGGTCAAACATCACCACCCGGTGGTCAAAACTGGTTTGAGCTTTTTTTTATTTTACAAAATACACAGGCCCTCCAGCTAATTAAGTATTGTCCTTATAAATGAAAGGTTGAGGGACTTGCGAGAGGCATATCAAATACAAAAATAATGGCCAAGACATCCTGACTTTTAGTCCCATACTGGATCCTCCGTTACCCATAGTGCATTCTTCTTTTGTCAGACCTTCCCTGCCCGGTTAATGCCCACACCTACACTTTTGTAATGCAGGCCTTACATGAAAAAAAACAACAACGTGCATGACATCAACAGGGCTATTTTTTTAGACTTGCGAGAGCTCCCTCCAGAGACACAGAAGACTTTACCAAACGGGTTTCACGGGCTGAGTGGAGCTCTTTGTGACGAGTAAACCGAACTCGATGGTTAAAATCAGCAGAGTGCCCCTTTAAACCACTTTCATTTCTGACTATAGATGATAAAGAAAGACGAGGATCTCCATCAAATCCTCGACACAAGGTGGGGTACGTGTTTTCTATCTACAAAACTGTGTGTCTTGTCATGCTGAGAGGATGAGCGTCAACAAGCCATCAGCACATGGGGGGGGGGGGGGGGGGGGTCATGTAAGTGGCCTTACACCCCACAGGTTGCTTCGGCTTTCACACATTAGGAGACACTTGTAGGTGTGACCCGGGCACAGACTGTAGGGGCTTTGCTTAACAAAAGCGTCCCCACCCCCCTCCTGCCGGGGGCAAAGACGCTTCGATTTGCATGATGAGATGGTGGGAGAGGGGGGGGGGGGGGCGGCAGAGGTCAAGTCTACCTGAGAGAGGGGTCAAACCATGTGTGGATTTTTTTTAATTCAGCCCTTTAAACACCAGCTCCAACCGACCCCTCTTAAAGGAGTCCTAGGCGACCAAAATGACCTTATTTGGCCCACTTTGAAGATCTAAACCTGAAACTGTCTCTTTCTCTCTCTCCATGGTGCACCAGGGCAGGCAGGCAGGCAGACAGACTTCCTCCGACACCCTCCCCTCTCTTTGATGTGAGCCATATCAAGGTCTCCGTAGAGCCAGAGACAGGCAGACCGTCTCCTTCCTGACGCCATCTATTTTATTCTCCCTGAAGATAATGGAGCGAAGCATCAGAGCCAGAGAGGGTCCAGCGGTTACGTGGATCCGTACACTGTAGACGTGTCTGATGTCACAGATTTGGGTTTGGGGCCCACACTTTATCTCGAGGGCCTTTGAGGCAGAGAAACCGACGACGTCCAATTTTGTTTTTCTCCAAGAGTGAATTCGGCAGCACTATGGTCCTCTTATCACGGGGGGGGGGGGTTTGATCCTACTTTGTATCACAAGTGACCCGACAGTAGTACAGTTCTGCAGAAAGGAAGGGCTTGGTGTTTGAGTCGGACAGTTCATTCTTCATCGAGAGAATAATGGTTTGACAAGATAATCTGTCTTTTAAAACATTTTGTCTTTGAAGTATTTAAAAAATGTGGTGTGAAGTGCAAAATACAAAGCAAAAACACATGATACGTAGTTGAATAAGGTGAGATGGTACGTACTTGTACTGATGAATGACTGTATAACAAAGATAATTCAACATGTTTGTTCAGCGGCCTTTTCAAACAGTCTTTGCCCCACATGCACGGTAACTAGTTTGTTTCCCAGCACTAACTCAGCTGTACGTTTTGGCTCATCGTTCTGTCAATGCAACAAAGAATGATGCTCTCGGAAACCCAAAATGTGAAGAAAAATGACACAGGCTCCTATAAAAATGTATAAATCATTAGAGATGATCACTCAAAATGTTGCAATAAGAAAAAAAGTTTCCCTTTTTATAGATGCGAATACAGCAAAAACAGAAGTGATAAATAAAACTATACTCCAGTCTAGTCACATGCAAAGTCATCCTACGCTAATTTGTTTGTTGTGCCTCGTTCATCAGTCTATGTGATTCACTAAAAAATACATAGAAATGGAAGTTTTACGGTCTACAGACACAAGTTAATCTGCTCACATGACTTTCAACTGTTTGAAAGCTCTGTGTGAACGTTATTCTGTCTCATTGTCAGGGACAAGCACATCAAGCACCTGCCGCCCCCTGCTGGTAGAAGATGGTACGACACGTGACCTGGAGCCTGAGAGAGGAAATGTATCGCACATTAACCACTTTGGCTCAGTGTGTAGAAATGAAATATAATATGGCATGCACAACATTAAAACATCCGCATCCGATTAGATCATGCATCACAACGTATGATCTAATATCACAACATTCTATATATGATGACAGAAGTTTAAGGTTCTCTATATATGGTGATCAGAGCATTAATATAGCAGCAAACAACTATGTATCTATGTAAAGATTTAGTGGAGCTGCGTGCATGCTTTTATTGCACGTTACCACTGCACCACTGGTTAACTCATGCGGCGTCATCACATGAGCGTAGCATCCATCCTCGGGTTGGTTAATGTCACAGCCCACCTTCAGATACTCACAACCATGAGATCTCTTAACAAATCCCCCCCTGAGACTAGAGGAAGGTCTGTGTGCTCCAACATGTCTTGCAAGTTGAGACGAGAGGACAACAGATGAGCCACTCGATCTGACAACAATCTGCTCAACAGAGACCGGAGGTCCCCACAGTGTGAGACACGAGACCACCGGCAGGGGGCAGTGGAGATCACAGGTTGAACTCATGATGGACTTGATGTTTATTATGGTGCCCTACTTTATAACTGAATAGTAAGATAAGATGATTGACCATCAAAAACCCAAGAACAACATGGCCCTGGAGAGGCATATTTTATTTTCATTTGTCAATATACTTCAGGAAACAATATACAAAGCAATGATGTGGTCACCTTTACTGAATGTGTGGTGCGGTTCAGTTATAGACTCGATAGATAGTACGGTGGAGAAGAAACAACAAACAAAAAAACAGGCCTTTGCCGCTTAGGACCCTGCTCTTCAACAGTGGGGAACAAAACAAGTAAGGGTACGACGACACACCCCCGTGCACGACATGCTCATCCTCACCGGTCCAACGGGATGAAATGAAGTGTGGAGTGAGGCTGTGAGACTTAAGACTTCCAACAAGGCACTAGCGTATGAACCAAACCTCAACACACCCAAGAAAAATAACCAGCGCTTGCTTTAGTTCAACATCTTTATTACAATACATACATTTCACATTTCACCTTGTGACCTCTTGTTGCCCTGCTCCCCCCCCCCTCCCCCCTCTAAACCCAGAGCTCCACTCCTAAACTGCAAATGATGGGGATTTACCGCTCGCCACTACGACTCTTTATAAATAAAACTTTTATATTCTGCGTCCTCTTCTGGAAAAAAAAAAAGAAAAAGAATAACTCCACTGTATGTTAGCGACTGTACAAAAGGAATGAACCAGTGGTGGTGGGAGGGGGGGGGGGAAACCAAAAATTGTTGGAACACAAAACAAACACTACAAAGGGGGGTGTGAAGTGTTAATGCCTCAGGAGAAGGTGTGTGTGTGTGTGTGTGTGTGTGTGTGGGGTCCAAAGCAGCACGCCATCACATCTCACGTTTTTTTTGCTTTTAAATATTTTTTTTTTAGTTTTTTTTTTTTAGTTTTTTAGTTTTTTTTTTTTAAATCACTCTCCACCACACCACCAGGCACTGCTTTTTTGTTTTGTTTTTTCCTAGACTGGGACATGCAGGGCCACCAGAAGCTGCAAGTAGATCACTGAACCGTTGCGAGCAGTCATGATAGACCTGCAGAGGAGGAGGAGGAGGAGGGAGTGGGTGTTTACTGAGCCCGAGTACAGGTTACAGTTCACCCAGAGAGTCTAGACAAAGAGTAGATCAGCTTACTGATATTTCATGAGGACAAAAACTACGTCGTGAGCCGGCGCGTTCTGCTTTTTAATGCTCGGCTTGTGTGTGTGTGTATTAATTCATGGCTTTGGAACATCCTCCGCTGACGTGCAGGTCGCGCATGCTCAATGGTTCAATGATCCATGAATTAACAAAAAAGAAAAAGAAAGAAGAAGCTTTCAAGTCTGCAGACGAGTTAACGTGAAGGAGAGGCTAGCTAATGAATGTAGCCGCCTAGGCGTCGATTAGTTTGGATGTCAAAAGCTTTGATAGGCATGGCTTTCCATGGCTTCAATCTACAAAACGTATGTACAACATAGATAATAACATCTACAAGAAATCTACATTTTTTTAATCCACCGCCGTGGGGATGTTTACAAAACAGAGTCTTGTAAAGCCCCCCCACTCCCCCATCTTCGGGTTTCCCTCTTGGTTCACCGAGCCCAGCGCTCTGAAGCGGACCCGACTGCAGCAGCTCCTGCGCCTGTTAAGACTCCAGAGGGAACCGAACAACCGCTCTCCCTCCAGCTTCCACCTATGTGCAATGGGTCTTACCCGCCCCTCACCCTTTTTAAACTCCCCCACCCTCCCTCCAAACTCTCGCTTCAACTCGCAACCACAAGTTCTCAGACCATGAAGGAATTCTGATTCTTCAACTTTTCAAGTTCTTTGATTTGCTGTCTCAGAAACAATATCCTGCGGGAGAGACAAAGAAAACAGTTATTATAGATAATTTTTCTTTACTTAAGCCAACAGGTGCACCCCCCCGGGGACTAAAAACAGATTCTCACCTCTGCTCACGCAATGTCGCTTGTATTTCACAGACTCGGACCAAGGAGCGCAGGTTTTTGAGCTCGGTGCAGTTCTCAGACATACAGATGCTCCCCATGGTGTGAGCCTCTTCACGTAGTCTCGATGCCTTGATAAAGCGCGCACACACACACACCATTTGTGTTAAAAGGGTGTTGCTGTGAATAACCACAATCAGCCCCCCCCCCCCCCCCCCCCCCAAAAAAAAAAAAAAGAAATGAGGGGAACGCGTCGGTGGTACAAACCTGCTTCTCGGCGTGTTCGGCGGGCCAGCCCTGCACGTGTTTGATGAGATTCTCATCGAAGTGGGCGGCGAGGGTGGGGGTGAAGGAGCAGGAGGGCCGTGCTGCTGAGGCGGAGGGGGGAGCGGAGGCGGAGTGGGGGGCGTTGCTGCTGCTGGAGGAGGAGGAGATGTGGTTGGGACCCGTGGAGGGACTCCTGTGACTGCTGCAATCGACACAGGTGGAGTAAGCGTGTGAGATGTTATGTTGAGGAAGAAACGGAGCAGAAATCTAAAAAACCAAACATCCCTTCTTCCAATGCTGTGATCACCTAATACAGGTCTCTTAACAGCCACCTGCAGGGAAATTACTATTTGATCAAGGCTCTCAGTACAGCCGCTCAGTGTTAGTAAGGAAACAGGAAACTTGTACAACCTTCTTATCCAAATGTGGCAGAGAGACTGACTCAAACTAAGTCAGAAGAACAAATATTCTTCTCATTGAATATTTGTGTCAACAGCTGTGTGTGTGTCTGCCTCTACCAAAGCTAGGAAACAGAGAAACACATTATTTTGTCATTGTTCCTACGATGGACAGCAGGTGGTGCCATAGCACCACACATTGAGGACAATCTACAGCCAGGAGCTCCCTTCTCATGCATCGGTACCTACCCGTGGCGCTGGACGGTGCGCGGGGAGGCCGTGGTGGCATCCTGACTGTGCTGCTTGTCGCTGGAGAGGGACTGTTGGGACGTGGGCGGGGGATGGGGATGAGGATGGGGATGGGAGGCCTGCTTCCCTGCTTGCGTGCTCACCTAGACAGTAAGACACACACCACACATCAAGACGGGGCCCCTCTCCACGGGAATCAAGATACAAGCTTGTAGAAAGTAAGGATAGAAATATTCTGTCTGGATATTCATCAGAGCCTCTTTCGTTCACTCGGCTGGTCTTACTTTCGCCTGCGAGATGACGGGCTGCGTGCTGAGGAGGGGTTTGTGGGGACCAGCGTTGGTCTGTGGTGTGCTGATCCTCGGGGACACGTAAGACCTGGGCGACGAGGCGTCCGATGTTAACGACATGGGCGAATGGTTTGACTGCTGAGCTGCTGGACGGACACACAAACAAAGAGATGAGACAATCTGAAGGATCGCCTGCATCGTAAAGCATCTAACTCACAGGAAACAGAAGGTTCCCGAAGCAGTCACGACACAAGGCACTCACAGCGGTGGTACGGACCTTTACCTTGGTTGGACAGCTGAGCGGCTTGGGAGAGGATAGTAGTGATGTTGAAAGCCGACGGTCCAGCGGTGAGGATCTTGTGGAGCATCGACTGTAATGATGCTTGTGTGACAGCAGCGGTGAGAACTAGGAGACAGACAGACGCACAGTTAGCACACCTGCACGGAGGGTATAGAGTCCTGCTGCTTGAACGGTTACTCCACTGCAGGGCGGTGAATTTGACAGAAATGTCTTCCGTGTACACATGTTCAGCAGCGATGCCATTTAGCTTGAACAGGCTGGGGTGAAACAAGTTGAACCCGGTAGCTCACATGAATTTCGCTACATTATTTTGGTTTAATTTGTGGTTGTTTTTGTTTTCTGTCATATGCCATGAGTACTTCATCAACATCGACCATCGTTTTGTTGGTCATGTGTTCTTCTCGTGTTGCATTTCGTTGTGCATCCCTGAGTTACGTAATGACAATAAATGATCCTTGAATCCTTATGAACATCTTCATGTTTATGACAATTATGCAACATTCATTGTGCGCAACATGGGTTGGAAGTGAGCATGTTGTCAATTTTAGGTTTTGTTCACACTTCACCTCTGAGAGCCAATATGTCATCTTTGCTGATGTGCGTACAACCAGCACTGACCAAATCAACACAAACCATCTAGCCACACAGCGTTTTCATAGTGGAGCCAGAACTTCAGCTGCAGAGGTGAACTGATGCTCCTTGGGCTGGATAACAGAACTAAATCTCAGACAGTCTGGATGCACGAGGCCCCCCCCCCCCCTACAATGTCAGCCAAGTTTTCCACTCAGTGTTGGCACCACACCGACTGTTGGGCCAGTCATTCATCGTGTACTCCGACAGAAGTGCTTGTCGAACGGCCAAACGGCATCTGAAACCTCACGTCACCCCGACACTGGGATTATTGGAAGGGACTGTGTCTGACTAGTGGGATTCATTTGTAGCCCCTCCCTCAGTAGCTGCCTTCTAGGACAGACCATCTGAAGGTGTATGTTTTTATCTCCATATTTACAACTGTTGTGTGTCGCCGCACGCTGACTGTTTGGAACAAATCTGCACACTTTAGCCCTCTGATGTGGTTGTACAAATAAGTCAAATGTCAGGAGTACACCGACCATGAGACAGTCTCTGTTCAAGTCCTCGTGCAATGGGGAAGTCTAGTTAGATAGGACCCAATAATACTGGGCTCAAAACCCACAGGAAAGGACATTGGTGGTGTTGACACGTTAGTCTGTTTGCACAATTAAAGGCTGAAAATCAATGCGTGCATCCCCGTCTACTCCCTTGGAGGAAAGTTTATCATTTCACGTCAAAGCCTGCCAAGACACAGTGAAGTCAGACCAGCAGCTGAGACCAGTGCAGCGTGTAGTTACAGAAGCGTTGCCCTGCAACTAGTGCTCCTCGACACACGGCCACTGCAGCTAGCTCTACGCAGACACGCAGTGGAACGTGCGTGTGTGCGTCGCCCCACGTTTCCTCTTACCTTCGTTAATTTTCGCCATGTCCACGCTGGCGTTGTTGAGCTGCAGGGCGGTCTGAAGTGCTGGGAGAAGCTGGCGAAGCAGGGTGGGGTCCTGGAGGAGCGTGGGGGTGGGGGACTGCAGCACCGGGGACACGGGCACCGTGGAGGCCGACGAGCCGGGCGGCCCCGATGACGGGTTCAAGCTCCCCGAGCCGGAGGACGATGACTGGGAGGCGAGGGACGCTGCAGGCTTCTCCGCCTGGGCCGACTCTGCAGAGAGGAGTCACTCCATCAACAGAGAGTCTCACAAAGCAACTCGACCAACAGGCTCTAACAGACATCTGGCTCACCAACAAGCACTCTCAAAGGTTTATAGTCGGCAAACTATAATTAATTAAATTAATTGCAGTGAACAGATATAAAGCAGTAGTGTGTTCACGTGAACGGAAGTCACGGCGAGAGGAGGAACTTCAGAAGCCCCCGGCGTCATTTAAGTCACACGTTTGGTTTCCCTGTAACTTATAATGACAGGATGAGGGTGGTGGACAAAACGGTATGTACGTGTTGTTCAACGAGAAAGACATACAACAGCAATACATCGGGCATGTCCACACACTTGAAGCACCACCATCCTGGTCTGAGCGACGGGGGCCAAGGCACAACAACAACAACAACAACAACAACAACAACAACAACAACAACAACAACAACAAATCATCGCAGCATTTAAGAAACCGTTTGTGGCAGAATCAGACCGGGCTAAAGCTATTACCACATGTATTGAACAGGGTTCATACACATTTTGACCAATGGATTTCCATGACTTTTCCATGAATTTAAACCAAATTTCCATGACCAAACATTTAGTGAAATCTCGGTGTATACATGAAAAAGTGAGAAAATGTAGTACTTAAACTAAATGAGAATTCCAAAGCATACAGTATACCTTAAATGACACAAACAAATGAGAGACAATAGTTTGATTAAAAGAATAAACATTTATAAATATACTCTGGTTGACAGGCATTCATAACACTGACACATCAATAAGCACCTTAGTAGGTAGTAGCATCCAGCTAGTGCACATATTGCTTTCCCTTTTGCAGTGCAAATTTTTCATTGAACCCTGTTACTGTACGGCTTAATATTAACTTCCACTATTACTGCAAAATGTTAGAATTGTGGCCTATCTTCTATTTGCAATTAATATGCAGTTCAATTATTTAAATGAAAATGATAATCTACTCTGACTAAGGTAGTTTATCAAGAGTAAAATAATAGCTGTGATCTATACACACCTCTGCATTAGCAACCCGCTGAAATGAAGGTACAGGCACCTTAACCCTCTCTCATTACTTCAGGGTTCTTGACAGCATCGTGGGACTGTTAGTACACTGGCTGTGGTCATCACAGTGAACAGTGTGATGAGAGGGCATGTGAGCCCTTGTTGCTGTAGTTCATCTCTTTGGAGCAGAGGCTACATTTAGCATACCCTGCCTTATCAATGTATTTAAAATACTGTTTAGACCACCACCTTTATCCAGGCCCCGCTCCACTCACATCTCAGCCCTGCGTCAAGCTGCGCTACAGACAGCCTCCTCTTCTTGAAGCTCGTTGACCTCATCAGTATCTGGGCCTCATATTTCGTGGTCATGAAAGTTATTCCGACCACGAAATCATCCTCATTCTACTTTGAGTTAAGAAAAACAACCTGCAACCAGATGCGCCGGTGTTCCGGTTTAACGTTAATGAGTGACTGCGTGAACTGAACCGGAACACGGGGGGGCTGCATGTTTCATCACGTTACGTTTTTCCTTCTAAATCGCGATAATGATGGACGTTAACAGTCGAGAAAGTTCCGCATGCAGTGAACATTAACTTAACCCAGCAAGTCTGAACGGTAACGGAACATAACGGAACTTAAACTTTAACGGAGGGAAATGAAGACGCTGTACACATGTGAACGCTGATTGGCCAAGACTCGACACGTCAAAGATGTTCTATAGCGAAGATCACGACATCACCTTTTCTCCTCGTCTCACTCCAATCTGAGAAACGCTGGCTGGCAACTCAGCGTAAATGAACAACACGAAAATATGAATATAACAAATTTCCATTACTTTTCCAAAACCTTTGGGATTTTATTTTTTTCAAGCACTTTTCCAGGCCTGGAAATAACCATTTTAAAATTCCATGACTTTTCCAGGTTTTCCATGACCGTACAAACACTGATTGAAAATGAAAGGACTGACTCACTTATCATGGAGGAGTGGAGATTTAAAGTCCAGTACTGCAGACACACCCCCTCTGTGAGAGTCACACAGACGCACACCTGGCGCTACCCTTTCCCCAGATAATGTAGATATTCTCATCTTTTTGAAAAAAAAACATCTTAAATATTGTGGTTTTCATGCAAGACTATAGCCCAAAGTTCTTTGCTTTAAGTGTTCTTGAAATTCTTTAATTAATAAATGGAAAGCAGATGCAAAAAATTATCCGATCCGTGACTCAAAACACGCGGTACGATCCGAACAATGCGGGTTGTGATCCGTTGCACTCCTAACTTCTTTACATCCTGCAATTAGGAGTCTACGAGTCACGCAAAATAGAAAACATGGTGGCGGCCTGCTGACAGCGAGAAGCGCACCTTTGCTTGTTGGGTGAACAATGTGAAAGTCATTAAAAAAGATAAAACTGTGTGCAAACACTTAACAAGGACAACGGATCAGGAATCCAGCACACCAAACGAGTGTCCAGTTTACTTTTCCAGCGGCATGCTTCATATGTGGTCAAACTTTGGCCTGCATGGTTCTGACTTCACAGCAGCCATGACCGAGGCCTTGAGGCTGCAATCAGACAGACTAGGACCTGCGTGAAATAACACACCCTTCTCATTTATTGGAATACTATATCCATTTATCGGCACGTCGTGGCTTTGGCATGAAATATAGGCGAGTGCCAGAAACATTCCCTCAGACACGACAGGCGGATAAGATGATGTGTGCGGGCATGTGAGGTGAAGTACTAACGAAGCAGGTGCCAAAACATACCGCAGAGTGGAGGTTTCAAAGATGGTCGCTCAGCGTCGGTCATGTGAGGAGGAGTCAGATCGCATTCCTTCAACAGTACTAATTGAATTACTCTTTTGTGTGGTCGTATGTCGTCTTTCTGTGTATCAAACGTTCCAGAGTGCTTATTCATGAACACAATAGTGTTCAATTCTACAGAAGAGGAAGTGGCGTTGGGAGTGGTGAACAGGCATCCAGACACAGGTTATTCAATCTAATCACAGCTCAAGTAGCTGAACAGGAGTGCCGCTGTGTAGTAAAAATACTCGGATACATTCTGCCTGTAATTGCCTCGTAGCAGCCTTGGAGGATCCTCGTCAGACGGCAACAGGAGACAGCGGTACCCGAGGGAATCTGGGTATGTATGCTGCAACAATGTGAACAACGTGAGCCGAGACCAGACAACTAGCACATCGGCTACTGTTGACAGCCAGTAAAAGCACACAGCGAGCTCTGGACCACGTGCAGACTACGATTAGAATGGCGTCACCAGGCTTCCCATGCAATCCTGCATAAAAACTGAACTGTACCGAAACAGAAACTGTTGTCGTGCTAATTGGTGATGCAGTTTGCATGAGAAAAGGCAAAGACACTTCGCCTGGGAACCAGATGGTCCTGGGAGCTCATGTTTTATTTGCTCTGGCAGATGAATTCAATCCGCCTCCGCTTTGGACTGACTTCCAGCAACGAGAGACCCGACGGGCAGATAAAACCGCTAACAGACACACCGATATGCTGTACCATCACAGCTCATCTCTGCACGCTATACACTGCTGAGATTTTACATCATTCGTTTTGTTGCTCTCATTGGTTGTATGTCTAACCAATTGTGTTCAGAGGCATTTTGGTCCATCTCCAGCCACGAAAAAATGATGCTAATAGTTATCTTAACGAGAACAACTAGATATTTTACCGGCAGAAGATCCATTAGAATCTTTCCCCAATTTAGACTAAATCATTTTTTAGTCACACAACACTAACTGGCCAAGAAGGTAATGGTTTTTGGGGCACCCTGGTTCAATCAAAGGGTATCAACAGATTAGTTCGAGGGCACAGCAGCACGTTGCCTCAAAGCCACATCAGCGTGCGTCGTTCAGCCATTTGTAGTCTGTCTTTTGGTAAGCAGTTCGTTAGCGTTCATCAGCCGTAGATCAGCTCAACAACGGTCATCATCGACTAACCAGTAACGGCAATGTGAGGCATTGCTCGGCTTTCAGGCACGATGATGGAGACCAAGATGGAAACACTAAATATAAAGACATGCCATTCATTAAAACCAGTCGTAGCAGACTGTGTGGTGTTGAACACTTACTTGCTCCGGTGAAGCCGGGGGCTGCCGATGCTTGCATGGCCTCCCTTCTGTAGTCTCTGTCTTTGGGGAAACTGTTGACAACCGCAGTCTTTGTTGCCTCTTTTTGCCTCTGCTCTCTGAGAGACACAAGATACGAGCGTGCATGCAAACAGATATCAGCCGTGTATCCAACCTTTACGTGACACTCATTCACAATAAAATAATAATAAAATGTGTGTCCAATCAAGAGGTTTGAGCTTACCTCTCCAACCACTCTTTGGGCTTCTCCCACTGGGACACCTCTGTCCTGCAGTTGTAGTAGTATTTCTTTCCAGACGAGCTGATGTGCTCTGACCAGTCGTCACCGGGTTCGTAAGGCTGAGAAGAGGAGCAGATCTTTAGGAACATGAGGCCAGACGGACGACAACAACAATTGTGTGCGAGTGTGCTGAGGGGAGGTGATGCAAGAGCTTGTAATAAAATGTGAAATGTACAAGAGCGATCCACAGACTCGTCGTCAGCGCCGGGGCTGATCTCAGAGATGCAACGTGAAACAGTTAAATACAGTCATTATATTTGGGCATTTTGTGCTCATTTCCTTGCATTCGGTTTCCATTTTAAACTGTAATGCAGTACTTCATTGTGTTGTTGAATATTGTAATGCACAGCATAGCAACGTTGCTTTATTTATCATTGTTTAAATCACATTTATTAACTGAATGGGTTTAAGGGCTGTGCAAAAATATCGATATAGCTTACTAACGCGATCATTTTTTAACCGTTAATACACATGTTTCAAACTGATTTAAAATGTCCTTTAAACTGCATTGAATCCCTGTAATACCTCCTCCTCCGCTTGTGTAACGCTAGATGTCGCTGCCTATTTCCTGTCACATGACCCGGCCAAAATCACAACATGGCGTCTCACAAGAAAGCGGCGGTATACTGTAGAGCGGCGCTATGTGATCCCGACTCGCCACACATGATGGATTGTGTAAATCCCTGGATTTACGGAGAGGTCGATGAAACCTGTCAAAACATGCCCCCCCCCCCCCCGCAGAGAGAGCAGCCCTTATGTGCGATGTTAAGACGACTAGACCGCCGAGTCACATGTTACGGTTTACGCCACGAGAGCCGTACAGGCAGCAACACCGCAGAGGTACGGAAGACTGAACGCGGAGGAATGGGACATAAAACGGGAAAGACCACCCAGCCATAGTGACAGAAAACTTTACTCAATGCACTTTATTTAATAGGTTTATGATATCTACATGTAAGTTAAGAGTGGTCAGTGATGCAATAGGAAACAAATACAGTACGTCTTTTATTTTCAGATGACGTTGTGGCAAGAGCGTTTTAGTTCAGTGTGTTGAGTGACTTTGTGCAAAGCAAATACCCTTTTAAAGTTTTGATGCAATTTGTCCGCCGAGTCATCAATATGTGATTTACGTATTAGACTATCCAGGTGGTATAATAAAGCAAGTTGTATTTTCAGCTCTATTTATACCTTAAAAAAAAAAAAAAAAAAAAAGTATTATGTATTGTATCGCAATATATTTTGCGATATATCGTATCGTGAAACCGTGTTTCGCAGCACGTATTGTATCGTGAGGTGCTTGCTAATACACGGCCCTAACAAATGGGACTACTGTCTCTTCCAGATATAACGGAGCAAGTGAGGGTGAGAGGAGAACAAAAATGATTTTATTGTGACTTTTGGCACAAGAATGTAAAGAACGAACATTAAAAGGACGGGAAACAAAATCAGCAAAAATCTTCCAAAACATTTTGGTTATTCGAGGAAATGAAGAGCTTATTGTTTTTCTGCCGTTAAATGTTTGTATTAATCCCCGAGTCCAGTTTTCATTTGACAATATAAAACATTATACATTTTCAAGATCTCATCATTGTTATCGTGGTAGTGCTTTAATATTTCCCGCCTTTACAGGAAGAGTACACAACAAAACCTGTTATCAAAGCCGTGAAACTACAGAACAGCAGTCACTGGAATTCTCTTTAGTCCATCATCACCATCATCATCATCATCATCATCTAGCCCCGTGCTGAGGTAGAGGCAACACTTACTGTGTCTGAGGTCTTGCTGGGGTTAGGATGTGAGTTGGAGCTATGAAGGGAACTGTGGTTGTGAGAGTTTTCTTGTGGAGAATAACTGGTCCCTGCAACAAAAACACAAGAAGAGGGAAAGACCCCGTCAGTAACACACAACAACAATAGCCTGGTTGAGGACAACAACAACAACAACAACACACACCAGCCTGAGGCCGGCTGTGCTCAGAAACAAACATCCAATGCCCAATAACTCAATAACTTTTAGTCGTATGCTCAGTAACACAACGATTACCAAAACAATTTCACAGAAACATTTTACTTTAAAACCGTCACAGTTCAGGGGTCACAATCGAGTGCACGCAGAATACACCGTTTGTAAATTGATGCAAATAATATGGAGCTAAAGTTCACAAGAGCGAGAACCGCCTGAGCATTTTTAGCTGTACCCTGTTAGCAACACCACACTATGACGAGCGCTAACGACACACAGAAGCAGGTTCCTGGTCAGCTACAACAGACAAAGATGGTGCAGTGAACGCCTGATGAGTAGTTGAGCTACAACATCATCCGTCTGCACCGCTCTCATGCAAATGTTGCACAACAATAAACAAGCGTCGGTCACAGCATTGGCACTTTTATGGATGGAAACCTCGACAGAGGAGGAGCAGGATCGTAAAGTCGTAGTATTACGTAGCCTGCCTGAGTACTCTGGTTAATTTGATGTGGTATTGGGATTTGGTGGTTTGTAAATGTGGGTAGTAGCAGCAGTCACATTGTGGGAGTCATATATTTCTGGCACCGTCACCAAAGCTCTAAATCTGTTATCTGCAGAGTCTCACAATGACACGGCCACCATTTTGGACTGAAAACAAAACATTTTTTTTCTATTTCTCCATATTTATGGAAATGTGCCACAATAATATAAATCTGGCAGCCTATTTGGAAAGGCAACAAAAGAGCATAGTGGTGCAGCATTTCTTTCTTATGGAAAACTCTGCAGTGTAGATGAACCAAGATCTATTTTCACAAGTCCATAAGTGTTCCTGCATTACTTTAAATGATTTAAACATCTGCGTCGGTACTACGCTGCCTTCCTGGCGTTTCCGATCTGAAAACACCGCCAATGACGAGGTTTCTTTACATGCAGCAGAAGGTTATGAAGGATGCAAGAACAGGACCGGCGTAAACCAAAAGAGCAAAATCTACACATTTTACCTGCAGCTGGGCAACGAAAAAAAACATACAGCTCACTGGTTATTATGGAAACACAAAAAGGAACATTTCTGTGTCAATACGAAAAACTGAAGCGGATGAAAAACGGGCATATTTTTCTCATTTTGAAGCTAGACAGGCCTGACCCAAAGTCAGTGCTGCGCTCTGGGTCCGTTTCAGACTGACCTTTGATCTCGTCGTCTGCTGGTTCAACAGGTGAGGTACACGATGTTATATCGTGTTCCTCTTTAAACACTAACCCCCAGGGTCACACATTAATGGGTGTTGTGTATTTGAACTTCAGAAATACGTTCAAAGAGAGGCTGTTCAAATCACGCCCACAACTGATCCACAATGACGTTCCTCTTTCCGTCGACTCCGTTGCACCAACACACAGGGTTCGTCCCAGTAAATTGGTTTAGGGAGGTGGTAAGTACTGCTCAAAATACCGGAGGTCCTTATTCAGGTTCTACCTCAAACTAGAACCCTTCTAAGTGTGTGCCGGTTTGTTGTTGTTATTGTGATTTGTTAAGCTTCTCACATGTGCCGCTCCGGCTCAAATTCCTGTGAGCTGGAATGAGGTAGAAACATGACACTTGGACTAATAACTGGAAATGATGCTTCTGAAGAGGTATTACCTCATGGTGGCGGCGTTAATAACCCACAAAAATGTGATTTTTCAAAAGGCAATGCCCCAAGCTTTAACAAAAGCTTAAGATCTTATGTCTGGTTTTTTGGATATTGACCAATGAATTTAAAAATGGCATCAAAAGGACGAGGCTCAGCACAAAACTTGACAAAAGTGAACAACCTTTGGGCCAATCGTCACAAAACGTGCAGGACATGTCTACTAGAGTATCCTAAACACTCTGAAAGTTTCATACCAATCAACTACTCGGTGGCCACAAACTGAAAAACAGTGCCAGCCCTCACGCAACAAGTCCGATTGAGTCGCCAGCTGAATGTGCTCTACAGAACCATCACTCTGACCTCATAGGTCCAAGCACTACATTTTGGAATTTTCTGAAAACAATATTTTTGACACCTCCTAAACCATATCTCTGTTTGCTACCAAACATTATGAAGATCATTATTGGAATAACAATGTTAAAAGTTATCATGAGCTTGTTTATATCTCATGCGGTTTTCAAGATATTGACCAATGAACTTCAGAGAGGGCGTGGCTAACCCCAAAAGTAGACAAAAGTCAAAAAGCCTTGGGCCAATCACCACAACACTTGCAGAACATGTCGACAAGGGTGCCTGAAATATTCCCTGAAAGTTTCAATTAAAACGACGACACTTCAAAGTCAAAACTTGCAGGATATGTTTCATGATAATATTAAACCACATCTGTAAAACTAATCTGAAACCACTCACTCCGGGCCACCACCAGTTTCATACAAGTCTATGAGGCGCCTGTGGTTTAGAGGTAGAGCACGGCAAGCAGAAGGTCAGCGGTACGATTCCCGGTCAGCACGCTGTGATCGACAACAAATAGTCCTAGTCACTGAAGACAGAATTAAAACCCACACAGCTGATTTCACTCATCTTTGTAATGCCCAAAACTCGCTTGCTGCCGCCTGATTTTGGCAGTTGAGCCGCTTCCTTCTGTTGGGCTGTAGAGAAATGGCTGTGATGTGATTAACTAGGTAATTCCTCGAGTGGAGAGTCGCCACTCTATTGCTCTTGTTGAGCTACAAAAACACTCGCTATCACACAGTGATGCTAAACAGCGATGCGTCTCATCACTCACAACCGATCTTTGGCGGAGTACACACACCAACATGCAGCGAGCAATCAACACAACAGCCTCATTTTAGCCGAAACAGAACTGGAACCAGCAACAGCGGATATTAATCTGCTGCCGGTGCAGTTCGTCATTTTGACCTGAATGTTTACTACGTTTCTCTCTGATCACATAAAAAAAAGCAAGAAGAATCAGTAAGAGACTCAACAAGTTCATGGACTCAAAGTGAAAGAGGCTTTTCACATCCACCCTATCAATGGAGGAACTAGATGACCGTTTAAATATCTGAAACTAGAAACACAGCAACACTAACGTTAGTGGAGGTGCTCTTTACTTAAGGTGAACTGGACACCACATGGATGACAGGACATCTTTAGTTACTCAGATATTCTGGCTTGAAGAACATAAGTAATTCAGGTATCAGGCAGACATGTATGAACTCTACCACTGTTCTCACGCTGTCAACCAGACAGGACTGGTTGTTAAAATTCCCAATCATCATTGCACAGGAGCTGCGCTGATCTCCTTTTTCCTTATTTAATGTTGCTCCTTCAAACAACTGGATTTCTCACCAAAACCTACACATTACAAGATTATATATGAACAAATCATTATGGCTGTAGAATTTGCCTTCGTCCAAAACTGATTTTTAACTGAGTAAACCTTGAACGCACCATAGTGAAAGTCATTGCAACCGCCGATAGCGTTAGCCATTAGCTCTGTTACAAGCAGGACTGTCGGTAGACGAGCTGGTTAGAGTAAAAGTGACTGGCAAAACAAAAAATTGCATTCGGGCCGGTTCCCATCGACAGTAGTGGTGTAACAGACCACCGTTGATCCGCGATCAGTACGGATCCTCCTTCACGGTTCGGCACGCACAAGCACCGCAGATTAAAAACACAGTTTAACGTTAACCATCACAGTGGGAAGTTAAGACGATTGTTATCCGCCAATATTCAGTAAAGTATGCGATCAGGACCTCATTTATGCTTTTCTAGACGCCGATCTGATAATGTTACATTGTAAACAACCAATCAGTGTTTAGATTGACATGAGGACAAAGGTTCTGTTTGTTTACATTATGATGCGTTCAGGCTCTGTTCAGTGAAAATGAGTGTTGGGTGAAGGTAAATTCTAACATTATGAGTCCACATGTGATCTCATAAAATGTAGCGTTGGTGAGAAACTGGTGAATAAATACAGATGTTTGAAGATGTTTTCACAACAACATAACTAGATATTAGAGATGAACTATAACCCGTTTACAACGAGCTCTACGCACCTTATAATACGTCACTAAAACTACTAATAGAATATTTGTTTTAATCAATGAAAATACAATCTTTTATTTCCTAATCATTTGAATTGTGTGTTTTAATGAATAAAAAAAAACACACTATAAATGACTAGGGATTCCCCCCCCCGATACTGGATAAGACAGTAAATACCCGGAGTATCGATAAAGTCCGGAGTTAGCGGTTCTGCTATCGGTACTTTAGAAGTTACTGAGTGAGATCTCAGAGGAACAAAACTCCTCTCTGTCTCCGGATTAGTACAGCGCGAGACACACATCATTGCAGAGAGAATAAAATGATGGAAAGGTCGGCTACAGTTTACACCAGTAAATGCTAATAACTGTTGCAATAAAACCCTCACAAGTAAGGGAGGAAACACCAGCAGTTTATCACAACATCTGGCCAACAAGCAGAACATCAATCTGTAGAAATGATCAGTTTGCTTCTGTTTGTGGAGCAGCCGTCCGTCCTCGCCCACTGCAGCTAACATTAGTGATGCGGAGTTTGATCATAACAGGATAATAAATGAAAGCTATTCGCTCAGCTAATAGTTTAGCTCGCGACTGTATTTTAGAGATTTGGGAACTTTTTGTAGATTGCTGGGCTGAGGCTGCAGCCATGAGTTGTTTGATACATAGTTATTAATAAAGGCAGCAGCTGTGTTGTTATATGTTAATGTTGTTTGTAAGTAAGATAATAGTATTGATACTCATCCCTATAAATGACTAACAAAATAAAACATTTAGATTTTTTTATGTTTACACAGACTTCAGAGCAGTTGAAATTATTTTTGGGACGGTGAAAAAAAACAAAAAAAACAAACATGGTTCATCAATGATCAGCAATTAGTATCAGAAAAGATATGGTCACAGATCTCTAGAGCAGGGATTCCCAAAGTGTGGTGTGGTGAGCTGCCTCCAGGGGGTGCGCGAGAGGAAAAATGTAATGTGGTCTAATGGTGTAATAATTGATATTAAATATAATTTTAAAAAATGTAAGTGGGATTTTTCACAAAAACATGAAATATAAAAATTCCCTTTGTAACATTTAAATTTTAAAACTCACAATGTAATAAATAAATGCACTTCTGCTCCTGCCGCCAGACTGTCTTTTACGTACACACTAGCTAGCCTAGCTTGTGCAGCTATAACGTCAGCTAACAGCTAACTTCATTTATTCAGCAACATTCATGCAAATATGCTAAACTGGCTGAAATCGGGGAAACTGTCAGGTGGGACATCTGAAGCTATCAGTCATAAAAGAGGAGAGGGACAGAGAGAGAGAGAGAGGCGAGAGAAACTGAGAGGTGCATTGGGGAGAGACCGGGAGAAGAAATCGAACGGGAGTCAGAGAAAGATGAGACGGAGGAGACCGAAAAGGAGGAAGGGATTGCACAGACAAATCGGGAGCACATAGGCCCATCGCGGAGTCAAGGTGAAAAAAGAGGAAACGAAAGTGAGCATCAGACTGGGAAAAAAAAGAGGAAATATGATGAAAATGATCTGTGTCTGGGCTTCACTTGGATTGGCAATGCAGATTGCCCAAAACCACAGTGCGTGGTGTGCAGTGAGGTTCTGGCTAACAGCTGTCTGAAGCCCTCTTATTTAAGTCGCCACCTGAACACCAAGCATGCCAGTGCAAGTCAAAAGCCCCTTACATTTTTTATATCGAAATTGGAGGAGTTACAAAACAGCCAAAAATAACTGCAGTCTCATTCATGTGTTAGGTCTACAAAACACGCAGTGCGGGCTTCATATCTGGTCAGTTACAGAATAGCAAGAAAGGGGCTACCTCACACAATCGCCGAAGACGTGTGCTCGCCAGCTGCCAAAGAGATGGTGGAATGTATGATTGGAGAGAGTAACTTTATTGTAATTCGATTCAGATTAATGTAACCGCTATGTATGGTTAATTGTAAATTAAATGTGATGCAATCTGCCTCTGAGCCTGTGCGTGTGTCCTTGCCATCCTTATTGCTCTTTAAAAGTGACGTCTTGTGTAACTGAAATGTATTAAACTTTGTTGCAGTGTTTCAGGGCGTTTTCACACCCGGTTCGTTTGCTTTGTTCCGATTCAGGGATTAATATGATACAATGTTGCAGTTGCCCCTTTGTTTGGTTTGCGTTCACACTGCAACATTTAACAGCGGACTAAAACTTGTAAACAAACACCACGTGCGAGCAAACTGTTCTCTCATTGGTCCGATTGTTATGCGACTATAAATAGGCTCTGTTGATTTTCTTATTTTTTTTTTTTAAGGGGTGGGGGATTGGGGGTGCGTGAACCCGGTTGGGATGTAGAAGGGGGTGCGTGGCCTAAAAAGTTTGGGAGCCGCTGCTCTAGAGATTATATTTGCTCCCTTTCTTCCTTTTGTGCTGATCTGATCCGTTGCACCTCTACGATCGGCGCACCTCTACGGCCCTCTCTGGCATCATACCACTATTTCAACATCACCATGGCTGCAGCAGAATCATGAAGAAAACATGATCCACCCCCATCAGTAGAAAACACAGACGGTATTTTGCATGTGCAAATGACAAGAGATGGTTCGTAAAAGAATCAACATTCCCCAGTTAATCCTTTAAGCCAACAACCTATAGAGAACCCTCACCTGTAGCTGACATTACAACACCACTTAATGAGCTTCCATGGTTTGACTCTCCTAACGGCTTATCCCTGATACACCCCCCCCCCACACACGACTCAGTATGCACAGAGTTGACAACAGGAAAAGGAGCTCTAAAGGGCAGCGCATGTTGGCAACGCATGACGTGCGTCAAAAGGACCCACATCCATTGTTACACACACACACACACACACACACACACACACACACACACACACACACACACACACACACACACACACACACCTTTCTCATTTGCTCTACTGAATAGCACACGACAGCTAGCTTACTGCTACCGTCTGTATGGCAGTGCTGGCGTATGACTGATGCGGTTGTAGAGAGAGGGATTTCCCTCTCACTGCCCAGCGTAGTAGTTTCCCCCGCTGCCCATCGTACCGACTGCACAAAGGCGTTTACGCTCAACGAGCTGTTCAGTCGCGTTATTCTCCGAAACGCCAGACGGCGTACAAACAAAATGTGCTGCAGAGAAGCAGGAAGAAAACGAGTGTAACCAGCAAAAAACGGAATAAACCGACGTCCACTATGACGAGGAGGGATTGTCACTAACTGTAAACTAATTTATCATATTCATGGACTACTTTGTCGCTTTTATACAAGCCCTGGAGAGAAAGAAGTTAAGTGTTAAATGAATTACAACGAAACTATTTTTGATCATCATGTCAACAATTAGATTTGCTGCAAAAAAGATATACTCAAATGTAGATTTTCTGAAGATCTCCAGTTTCCAATGCAATAAAAAACAAATTGGCCTTTTTTGAGAAATCCTCAGGCGTATTAATGGTGCTTTTATCGGTGTGTATTTGTGACAGTCAAGTCTGAAACGCTCCGGCCGTTGACAGCGGCGAGACTCGACCGTAAAAGTTCAGTTGTGGGCCGGAAACCCGAAAACAACAAACTAGAAGATGCTAAAACGCTCCGCAGTGGTTGATAATTGTTTGTTCTCCACTACAAGTGACATAACAGACGGCCATTTGACCTGTTGTGCGTATAAAAGTATTGATCTAATACCCAGGTCCTTTCAAAAGCTTTGAAAACTACCAGTATAAATAATATGCGGATGCTGGTCTGGATCAGGGACTCGTCTGTACACATCTGTGACGAAACTCAACTTTGAAATCCGATATTAAATCTTGGTAGAGGATACATTTTTTTCTTTCATGCAATATATAAAACCTGAAAAGGGCAGTCGTCCAATGTAGTCCGTGTGCGTTTTGCCAATTTGCTAGTTTGATCACGATACATTAAAACCCAAATTTAATTTGATCAATAATACTCTGTCATGACAACCTGACCTGCAGTGGGATGACATGTCAGGCAGGTATTAGAAACCTAGTTTGATGCCGTCTAAGCCCCCAAAAAACTGTTTGATATAATAATAATAGAAGACGACTGAAATAATGAAAGCTCGTTCTTTGCTATTGTTTTTTAACAGTATATGATAGTAGACAGTAATCTCAAACAGTGTGTCACGTAAAATCTGTACAACCATCCCTGAATGTTTGTTTGTGTTCCTCAGGCTCATATTTTCAACTCTTGATCTACAGTTCAACATTAGCCCGACGCTTGTTTCACCAACGTATCACAGCTGCACACAACGTTGTGTGGAAACTCAACTGTAGCAGCTCAACCCACTGCTCTCATGTTAAACTAAGATTGAGCCCCGCACCACAACAATGCTTCGCTTCGCGCACACACTAAAATTACACCGCACGCATGGCTCACAGTTTGTCCGCCATTTAGTCAAATAGTGAGAAATGTTGGAAGGTTGTGTATCCTTATGTTTATGTTATCTTGGAAAAAAAAAAAAAAAACACAACAAACTAACGATGCAATACGATTTAAAACTGTCCCCATTATAGAAGTCTCCACTTTGCATCACTCAAACCTTAAAATAAGTACTTCTGACACCGTCAGTGAAACTGTATATGAACCGTAAACAAGACGAAGAAACACCCATTACAGGATGTTTCCTTCAAAAGCCTGGATGTTTGCCCAGTGTGTGGCGTTAATATTCACCTTGATGCAGTAGATTCAAACGCATACAAAACATCTAGTTTTGCAGTGGTTTCAGTTACAGAAATCACAAAACAACAGCAGATAAGTCGACTGTTTAAGATAAAGTGCTTCTTGATCAAAATTGAAATTCGTTCGATTGCTCCATAAGTTCATCTACATTACGCTCGATTGATCCCAAACTACAACAGCTGGAATACCGACTACTTCAAAACATAAATAACCACCAAGCAGGCTGTGCCGATGTCTGAAGTTAAAAACAACAACAAATAAATCTCACAGCTGCAGAATTTCAGTGTTGCGCGACATTTAAATATAGCCGTTATAAGTGAGCTATTAGTTTGCCATCCGAACCCAGTTTGGGTCCCAACGAGCACCGTGTCTCACCTCCGTCCCGGTCTCTGGCCCGGTGTGTGTGGACAGCCTTTGCTCTGCTGTGCCCTGTGCTGTCGATGTGCTTGTTTTCAGGGCTGTCAGACCTCCTGAGCATCTTGCAGGGAGGAGTGACATCGGACGAGTCTCGCATCTTCTCATGCCGGTGGTCCCCTCCTGGATGGCTCTTGGACGAGTATTTGAGCGCCTGTAGACACAAATCAAACACCTCACTGCAATCTAGCGTTTTGTGGCGTACAACCGATTTCATCGCCATCACGAGGTCTCTCAAGCCGGTGTCACATTCTCATTTAACGCCATATTTGGCTGTTCAGAGTAATACTAACTCAGAGTACTTGTGCATCAAAGTTTTAATGTGTATGTTATTAATTTGAACAGCTGATTATTTATGATTAGAAAGCAGCAGATTCATCTGTCAATCTTTTCTCGTGCTACACAAATAAATAGTGATTCTATTGTGGCTGTAGTAGTTTCTCACTTGGTAGAAACGTACTTGTGTATACTGACACATTAATTACTGATAATTAAGCAAACAGAACATTTTGTCAGACATCCAAGTGTTCGCCTTTTGTCACTGCGTACAACCCATATTTTGAGTTTAATCGTGTGTACGTGGTTTTGCGGGATACATTTAGAGCACTTTGATGTTTGCAGAGCTTAGCTAGCTGTATCCTTAAAATGACAGATTGCGGTCAGGCCCTAATCGGACTGGCTAGCGAGCGAGCTAATAGTAACAAGCTATCATTAGCTTGAGCTGCAACAAAACTCGCTCGTACCTTTTCTAAAAACAGCCGAATTCGACGAATACATTGAGGCCGTGTTGTCTTTACCCGACAATGTCCACGTTAGGGAGTCTTTGCAGCTTTAAAATTGCAATTTCTAACAAAACCATTTACTTTTCACGTTATTTTCCGCACTGACGTGGGGCCTGTTGTGCTCTCCAGAAGCCTGAGCTAGAGTGTCCATCTTAATCTTATTTGCTGCTAGCAGGCTAGCTGGGCTACAGTTGGCTAACAAGTACCTGATAGGGCTGAGAATCTCTTCGGTCGCACCTGCAAATGTAAAGAAAAACAGTCGTGAACGTGAAGCTTCAAATGTCAACGTGTTGAGAAATTGTTGAAAGCGCTGCAACAGTTTCAAGCCCACTTATTTTGGTTTCAGTAAAAAAATGGCGGATTGTCAAAGCGTAGGAAAATCTGAATAAGTAACGTCAAAAAAGATGTTTACCCATCGCCGAGTCTCGGTTGTTTCCTTGCATACATTACCATCAATGCCGTGTTGGTGTGTTTGGAGTGGGATGTGAAAGATTGATGACGGTACTATGTTTTTCTGGTTGATTCAGCGACCTACAATCGTCAATTATTTCAACTTAGCTTGTGGGTATTTTTCACTGCTATCGGCAGCACAGGTCGAAAGAGCGCCCTCACTCAGTCCATCTCCCACTCAGACACACAGCCTCTATCGGCTCACAAAACGTAGCAGTGGAGCTGCGCGTTGGGTTGCCAGATATTAAACACTCGCCAGTATGGGAAAGCCTTTATAAGTCTATTGTACCCATGAAAAGTGTCACGTAATCATATTATCATGTCACCAACATGAAGTGTGGTTGCATGTTGGTTTAGATATGGGTCCGTATTTTGATTTACAGTCAGCTACAACTATTACTTTTAATACAATCTTAGGACTGCTGCTAAAAACACAATAAAAACATTGGAAGAATGGAGTATCAAAACCCTCTAGTGTGAGTATTAGATGTCATGATTATGATTTTCCCATAATAATTGAAAAGAAATCGAGTATTTAGTAAATATCCACCAAATAGATGGACAATTGTGGGTATTGTACAGACCTGGCAACCTGACTGCAACCCCCATTCTCCACCTCACCCTTCCGATGGCAACATCCGGGACACACTGGCTGGAGCGGAGCAGTCTCAAAAACTTGTAAAACCTTTTATTTCTAACGTATTCTTGGATGAATTGTGATTTTCTTTCCACAATTGCATTTCTAAATGTTCGAATAAAATTCCTACCTAGTCAATTTTTCAATCAAGGGCTGTAGATATAAAGTTTTAAAAGCCATTAAAGGCATTAAAGGCCTGCAGAAGGCACTGACTTGATCTCTCCTGACATCTAGTGGTTGTAATGTGACATCGCAAGCATCAAAATAATTTATTTTAATATTTTAATTGTAGTATTCACTGTCTTTAGCTGTGATAAAAAAAGGTTCTGCACATGTCATTTTACATAAATAATACTATATAGATGGATAGTTACCGCAAATATACCGTAAATAGATATCATAAAAGACTTAAAATATAATCATTACAGAGGGCCACAAATTAGTCCCTCGGGAAGCATCCTTGGAGTACAATGGTACATTTGCAAGTCAACGCGCAGGCCTTTGTAATGAAACAGTGCATGTGCATGCAGAACAGTCTCTTCACATGTTGTGGCTGTGACCAGGTTGTATTGATGGTCCAGAGTGAGTATCTGTCAGAAGAGGGCTGCTGGGCTCCATTGTTCCCAGACAATGTGCCCCATGTCATATCCCAGGCCGAGGACAAAAGAAGCTGCGGTTCAGCATTTTGGCACACAACACACTTTAATGTGGGGACACAAAAGGGGGTGCTTCTATTGTTGGCACATTTCTGGTACTTGTTCACACACACACACAGACACGCACACACACACAGACAGACAGACGGACACACACGCAGAGTGCCTCTAATAAAAACAGAGTTTATGTGATATTTCTCAGGATCAGTTTCAGGATCAATTTCAAGTTTTTAATGCTTTGCTGCCCCCTCCTGTAGGCCACTGTGCTTGACATATAAATACGACAAAATATGAGGTATTACATATAGTGCAGGTATTAGATGTGGTGCAAATATTAAAAGGATACAGAGGAATGGTGGAGGTAAATGTCAACAACAGCAGAGGTGTACTGGCAGTGTCCTCGTTCAGTGCTCAGTGGGATCACACCCACTTGACCGTGACTGAAGATACACTGATCTAACATCAGCCATATTTAGACACATTTTATTTTTTGTTGTTGTAGAAGAATCAACTCACGTCCTTAAAGTGCCCTTTTCTGGTCTTTGACTACTTGTTGCGTTGTGTCTTAGGATGACCTGTAGGGGGAGGTATCAAACAACATTTCTCTGTAGCTCTAATATTAAAGCAGCAAAACCCAGGTGATAACCAGTCGCAATAGCTAACCACTCCTAAATAAGATACAATTAATCAACACAAATGATTGTCATGTTTAAATTCACTTTATTTAGATTATTATAAAATACAGCTGGATAAAATATTGTTTCTCTCAAGACCAGGGTGTAGAAACTGACAAAACATCAAAACAAAACATTATATTATAAACAATGTAATATATTATCTCAGTCCCTCTATATACAAGGCTACAGCTTGATAGATAGTCCAACATATGTACGAGTGAAATTATAACTTGTGTTTAAAATTAGGGGCTGTCTGGTATACAATTGATCAATCGTCTTGATTTGGCACTTGTTACAATCGACTGGCATTATTTGTAAAGATTTATTTTGAAATCTTTCAGAATTAAATAGCAATTCACAACCGTCACACTTTGTGTAATTCTTTCTGTAAAATGCAGATTCTTATGAATATGTATACATCTATAAACACTATATCTGAAAGAATGATGCTGTCCAATCGGGATTGTTTTGCTTTCTCTTCTTGGTGGAAAAGCGAATTTACGAGGGAGGCGTCAGTTGTTGATTGACAGTACCCCAAGCCAATAGAAACGCAGGAGCGAACTATTGACCACGCTTTTTCAGAATACTGACCAATGAAAGAACAGATTGGGCGGCCTCTGTGGTAAAACCTATGGTGAATGCCCTGTATGGCGCAGATCTCAGACCAGTTTGTGTTGTCACACACCGAACCATTAACGTCGTGTCTAAAAAAAACAAACCGTTTCCAAATCAGCGCCTTGACGGATCGCTTTATCCGTCTTGGAGAGAGGCACGGCCGAGGCGGAACATTTTTGAAAGGTTGTGTTCAGCAGAAAGCGACCGAAAGCGGGGATGAGTTAAGGAGATTTAAAGGAACAAATCGCGCTTTAAAGTGGAGAATACAACAACAAGAGAAGTTTGGTTCTCGGAGGAACCACTGGAGTACATTGTGACCAGCAAGGAACCATTCAACTCCGACCTCCGATGCAAAGTGAGTAACGTTACCAGCACATTGTATCTTGCTAAAAAAACTTCAAATTTATCGAGCGAATGAAGACAAAAAGTCAGTGTGGATTATCGTAGTAAAACAGTGGGGAATACCGCCATGGCTTCATGTGGAATGCGGGGGATAGAGCTTAAATACGAGCACTCACCTAATGACAGAGCAGGATTAGTAGACGTGGTGTGTGTGCTACTAAAGGAGTAACGTGAGGTTAACCTAGCAGGGAACTTCTCTAACCTGAAAGTTAGCTCGGTGCGTGATATTAAAGTAACTCTGGGCGCCTCGCCATGCTTTTCGACTTAACAGAAAACCGAACCTTTCGCTCCCTCTACGAATTTATGCATACTCCTAAAATGAGCAATAATTAAGTTATTTAACTTTTTAGTGCCATTCGTTTCAATGGAATTTCACCTGACGTATTGTGCAATGTGTTCGCGAGACAGTGAATGGAGCTTTAGCGAACGGGTCTAACGTAAAGTGACGGAATTATAGTGACACGCTGTTATAGTAAAGTACAGAAGCTGCAGTAGCACCTCGTATTACCGCACAGCTTAGCATAGTAGTAGTAGTAGAAAAAACCGATAGTTAAGGGGTTGGCAAAAATTGACGCAAACCAAAAGTTCCTCGCGTCGCACCCGCATATGACTTCCTCCAACAGGAAGTACAGGGTGCCATGTATTATGGCCATTGGGGGGGAAATACAGCGCTCTTGTGCCTCGCGACGTCAAGTGTGTTGACACGGAGCTCGCGCCACTGGCTGACAGCGCCAAGCCTCGGAGCTGGCAGCCCACCGAGAGACTCAGCACTTGGCCGGCTTCCATCATCCTGTCCCAACTCGGCCGTGTGTTTTGCATACTTAGATTTGTGTATGATAATGATAGGGGCACGCCATGTGTGTTTCTGTCTTACACCCACTCTTTATACCCCTGTGTATCTTTACTCTGACATGCAAGTGCCTAAAAACAGCCCGTGATATCTTCTTTGATGTGGTTAAAAAAAATAAATCAGAGAGAGACCCAAGATATCAGTAGTAATTTCTTGAAAATGCCATTCATTTGCATTGAGTCATTTGTTCCCCTTAGACGAAGTCTGCATTCTTCTGCGATGCACACACATGGTCGTCATTCAGGCAAAAGTGCTGCGCTCGATGTTTAGACGCTGGAAAAACAGAAGAAGTTCACTCTGATGTTAAACCGCTTGTGGAACAAAGGTTGGAGGAGCATCTTCACAGCTAAAATCAATGAACCAGAAAGCTACCACTTGCGTCTAAAAGTGTATATATCTTTATTAATTTGTCACCTCGCTTATTGCCTTCCAGGTACAACGTCTGCATCATGTCCCATCATTCATTTCTGTTGTCTCTTGTCGGCCTCCCCGTCAAAAAGACCCAGGAAGACTGACAATGACCTTACATCGCTTGTTATTTGAATGCCACTGAGGGGACTCTCTAGGGAGCGGACATTTATCTGTGTAAACTCCGAAGCCTCTGTGGCTTGTCAGCAGTTTGGGCCGGCTCCTCGTGCTCTCACTGGGAGTAACCTCGGCCTTCTTTTTTAGAAGATGGTGGGAGCCCTCTAGTCTGGGCGGGGGGGACTCTCCCAGGAGACTTTGATGATAAGTATTTCAGTCCAGTTTATTACTCTGGCTTGTATTGTTTATGAGGTCAACAGCTTCGGCTTCATTATGCCCCTCGCTTCACATGGTAAATGGACTCTTTAATTAAGAGTCATTGAAGGCCTCACACAAGTGTTCAAAAGAGCTGCAAAGGTTAGCTACCTAGTTGTCTTCGCTTGCTTGACCTATGTGAGTGCATGCGACATGAAAGCAGATGCTTTTTTCTTCCCACACTGCTGGAGTGCGCGTATGTGTCGAGCATACCGTAGGCGGGCCGAGGTCAGGGCGGAGGCTGCGGCCACAGACGAGGCCCGGCGTAGGATTCTTTGCTCCGCTCTGTTTGTCTGGACAGGTGTCTCTGAGCTGGAGCTCCCCGCATAGCTCACATTCCCGGGGTTTTGTTCCTGGCGTGGAGGGGTCACCGGGTAGCGGGGCGGGAGGGTGGGAGGGAGGTGTGGGAACTAAAGAATGCTATGCTCAACTCCCAGAATTCCACCGCGCGACCTGCTGATTGAGACAAACGCTTCCTGTCATCGCGGCGGCACAACTTGTGTTGATGAGAAAGCTGTCGGCAGCCCAATTGCGCTGTTCATGGCCAAGCGACAAAGCCAAAGAGTTGGCCTCCATAACTGCTTGTCAGCAGCGAGGCTATTTTCTTG